GGTTTTATTTAATTTTTTCTTTTAATAATATATTTTAAAAAACGTAAACACGTCACTTACGATTGAAAAAATTTTATATTTACTACTTCATGTCGTTGGCATTTACATTTCATTTATAAGTTTAAGTTATTTATAAACATTCGCTCTCAAAACTTATTAAAGGTTTATTTGAAAAAACTTTTAATAAGCTTAATATTGAAAATGCTCATTTAACGCTTATTATAGCAAACTTAATTTAAGTTATTTTTAAAAACGTTTACTGAAATGCTTGTTGGGTACGCTTTGTACTGAAAATTTTTGCAAAATTAACGCCATGTGTTTTTTTTTTTAAATAAATTTCGTGTTCACTTTCATTATATATGTACGAATATTTAATCAGTTTATAACATAAATTTTTTCAGTGCTTAAATTTTTTCATAGTTTTTTCATTCAATATTTGTTTGTGTAGATTTTTACATTTTACTGGAGTGCCTGAGCTTTGCCCATCCATATGAAACTCAGGCATTTTCCTATGAATTGTGTTTATATGCCAGGGCATACGGGAGGGCGAGACAATTTTTTTTCATATTTAAATTGTATATTTGTATATGTGCCTATACGTCAGGGCAAAACAAAAACAAATGTGCTACAAGTGCTTATGGAGTGAGCAGCTCTGTACTAAATTTTTTTTTTGAAAGTCTAAATTAACTGCGCTATAAAGTAAAGAAAATTAAGGTTTTCATTTCATTTCATTTATTGCGAAAACATTTGTTTTGTGTAACTAATTTTCTTTTTTTTTCATATTATTTTGGTACTTTATGTTTAAATTTTAATTTGGTTCTTTTCACAGGCAACAATCGCAATGAGAACCGAGATCAAGTGAGGGATCCCCGACTAAACATTAACCCGGCTTATGGACAGTTAAATAATAATGCAGGTCATGAACTAATGCCACCTTTACGTAATCTAAATCTGTAAGTAATTTTAACTAAGAGAACTATTTGATTTCATGCGGCTTATTAAAAAATATTAATCATGTTTATTGAATTTTTATACAAATTTTTGTTCTACAAATTCATTCTAAAATAAATAAAAGTAATATGTAAAACATAATTTTGTTTGAGGGCCAAATGAAAAATTACTTTATTTGATTATTTTAAATAGCAACCAACACAACTTGGGACAACTAGAACAGCCAGTTAGGCAAGGTAATATCCATCAAGATAATCAAAGGCTGCCAATAAGGCCAGTAAACATTCAAGATAACCAAATGTTGCCAATAAGGCAAGGAAACAATCAAGATAATCGAAGGCCAGGTAACATTCCAGATATTCAAATACCGCCAATAAGGCCAGGTAACCATCAGGACAATCAAAGACCGCCAATTAGGCCAGGTAACAATCAGGATATTCAAATACCGCCAATAAGGCCAGGTAACCATCAAGATAATCAAAGGCTGCCAATAAGGCCAGGTAACCATCAAGATAATCAAAGGCTGCCAATAAGGCCAGGTAACAATCCGGCTATTCAAAGACCGCCAATTAGGCATGGTAACCATCGTAAAATAAGGCAAAGTAGAAATAACCCACAGAATGAACACCAGCCTAGAAGGAGAGATGGCAACTACCAACATTATCAAGAACAGCAAAGAAGGGAAAGTGATAATCAAGGAAAACGAGAACATCGGTCTGGTGGAAAGTATTTTGGTTTTAATTACTTAACTGAATTAGGCACAAAGGATAGCGATGAAGTAATAACTGCATTAGCAAAAAGGAAGGATGATTTTGAAAAATTCTTGAATGACGATATTCGCCCAGATATGTTTGTACTAACAATACAAGTTTTAACCAACCTTTGTCAAGCGAATTTCGCTGAAATGGTTACAAGTGTTCTAAGCAATGCTTGTTCTGCAAAATTCTTAAAAACTTTGCACGATTTTTTGGTTAAATTGCCTTTTGAGACAGATCTGGAGAAACATCGAAACAAACTGTATCATGAAGATAAAAACAAGTTTTGGTGTAATTTAAGTAAATTTTTCAAAAAAGTTATTGAACTTCTTCCTAATAAAGCTCGTGATGAACTGGCACCTATCTTAGAACGAATAACTAAAATGTTACCAATCATTGAAGAGAACCAAAATTTTCGAATTGACGAAAATGTCAAGAATGATCTCCTAAATATGGCCAAAGACTTACAAGAAGAAATTCAAAGAATTGAAAAAAAGAATAAAGATCGTGAAACACGTCCAGGTATAGCTGAACCTGAAATAGAACAAGAACCACCTGAAAACTTTAAATTATTGAGTGTCATACCAACAATGCAAGATTTGCTCGACCAAAGACCTTACATTAGGAAGTGCAAAGTCAAAGATGCGTACACATCAGTTGAACATTACTTGGACGTGCAGTTCCGTTTGTTGAGGGAGGACTTTATATCACCATTGCGAAATGGAATAAATGAATATTTGTATTCAGATAAGAAGCATAGAAATCAAGAAGTTCGAGTTTATCTAAAAGTCACTTTAGAACGTCCCGATATTTCCGAAAAGATTGTCGGTTTTATATTAAAATTTGGAGTGATAAAAAGTATAAATTGGCGGCGTTCCAAGCGTTTTATGTACGGAGGATTACTGCTTCTCAGTAGTGACAATTTCAAAACTGTTCTGTTCGTTACTGTTGCAAATAGAGATGAAAAACAGCTTGAAAAGGGATATATTTTAATAGAACCTTGTGAAGGAACCTCAATCACCCGAGAAATGTATAAAATGACTTTTGTTATGCTGGAGTCAAAGATATACTTTGAGCCTTACTTGGCAGTGTTAACTGCTATGCAGCATATGAACGAGGAAAATTTTCCAATGGAACCTTATTTAGTACGCGGAGACACCACCCAACGACCGCCAAGATACCTTGAAGATGCTGATGAGGAAGACACTTTAAGGTACAAAAATTGGGATTTACCAGTTGCCTATAACGAGCCTTGGCCGACCGCCAATGAAATGGGTCTCGACGAATCACAATTCAGAGCTTTCAGATGCGCTTTGACTCAAGATTTCGCAGTGATACAAGGACCGCCAGGGACAGGAAAAACATTTATTGCGCTGGAGATCGTTCGCACTTTGTTGACCAATGAGGCTTATTGGAAACCCTACGGACCGATCGTCGTCGTTTGCCTAACGAATCATGCTTTGGATCAATTCTTAGAGGGCATCCTCAAAACCACCAAGTCCATAGTTCGCGTCGGCAGTCGATCGAAGAGTGAAGTCATGAAACCATACACATTGATGGAAAGAAGAAAGACTGTCAAACCTCCAAGACAACACGACGCAATGGCAGTTATGTACGAAACGAAACACGAGCTGGAGACCATTTTGAGTTCGATGAAAAATGCGCGTACCTGCATAGAGCTTTTACTCACGGAAAATGCTATAGTACCGTTGGCTTGTCTCAAAAAGTATAGCGACGACGAAACACTACAGAACTTTGCCTCGAATGAAGAATTCGTAAAGTGGCTTATAGGTAGCGAGATAACGTTGATTCTGCTCCCTGAAAAGCCCGCAATGATACAAGAGCAGCCAGAAGACGACCAGGGAATGGCATATCACGACGATCAGGACAGACATATGGACAATGATCTAGAGCTCGATTACGACTTCAAAGTCGACGAAAGCTATGATCCCATTTTCCCTTTGAAAAGTTTAAATGTCAAAATCCTAAAGGTTGAGCAAGATTTAAATGAATACTTGTTTCGCCCGGAACTTCGTCGTCATCTTGATGCAACTGAAAAATTAAGAGAAAATCTTACAGAACTATTAGCTCAGAGGACGTCCTTGCAGGTAAACATAATCAGAGGCAGTTGAATGTTGAAGTTGAATGGGACAAAGAGTACGTTCACGTATGTCATAATCCGAAAAATGTGTTTTTACGTGACGAGTAATACGATATCGTATGTGGCGATTCGAGCCCTGTTTTAGCCTCTATGTGAATATATCGTCGTTTAAAGTGCAAAACCGCGTAACTGACATTTGTTGCCAAAAATTGGATTTGATCACACAAGCTCTTAGCTCAATTCTTATCCATTCGTCCAGAAATGCGATTGCTTTCTAAAAAAGAAAACCAGTTTGAAATATGAGCGTTTTTACTCTCTAGAAAATAATTTATGCAACCTCACATACGCGGTTTTGCATTTTGTTGATACGCAGTTTTGTACTTTAAACGACGATATGTATAATATACGTGGTAGGGCGAATTTGAGATATTCAATATAAATCTTGAAGAATTCATAAATATTACGAATTTTCAGCGTAAATTAGCTCAGCACCCATTGCTGCATGAACAGCGCCATCCTGCTAGTAATAGCCGTTGGAAACTGTACTGGCACTGGGTGACGGCTAGTCACTTAAAAGCAATGAATCAACTTGCTGAACTCGAGAGAGAGTATCAAAAAGTGAATGCCAAGTTGAACGAAGTCAAGCAATTAGTTGACTTGGATGTGCTCAGAGAGCATGATATAGTGGGACTAACAACAACTGGCGCGGCGAAGTTACATGCATCCTTGCGTGCCCTTAAAGCTCCAATAGGTCAATCATTTAATTTACTACTCTCACATGTTTATTGAAATCAAAGTAAATTTAAAATAACATATATTTTCTAATGTTTTAGTATTGGTAGAAGAAGCCGCCGAAATTCTCGAAGCCCACGTTGTCTGCTCTATGACCAGTAACTGCCAGCATGCTATTCTTATAGGAGACCACAAGCAGCTGAGACCAAAGGCGTCGGTGTATAAGTTGGGCAAAGATTTCAATTTGAATATCTCGCTGTTCGAGAGAATGGTCAACTTGAGAGGCGATTGCGCTCAACTCGCGCATCAGCATCGAATGCGACCTCAATTTGCCAAATTATTAACGCCGTCGATTTACGAAACCTTGTACAATCATAGCTCGGTCAATGAACGGCAGAATATCAAGGGAATGATGAAGAATCTCTTCTTCCTACACCACGAAAATCACGAAAGTAGTCAAAACAACGAAGAGAGCTATGCAAATAAGCATGAATCGGAGTTTTTAGTAGTGTTTGCAAGACATCTAATTCTGCAAGGTTACGATCCTTCAGAAATCACTATCCTTTGTACCTACACTGGTCAACTTTTTTCTCTTATGAAGGTATGACGAAATATTTCTTCTCTATTTCTTACTATCAAAAGAAATTACCTAAAACTTAAATTTTTTTTTTGAATGAATTCTTTAACTTGTTAGTATAAAATTTGTACACACAGAGCGACCACTCTTAATTTTCTGATTACCTTTGTTTTTTCATCGCATTTAAATCTTAATTTACAGGCGAAATCTCGTATTTATTTATTTTACAGGAAACAGATCGATACGCAATTTTAAAAAGGATGCGGGTGACGACTGTAGACAATTTTCAGGGAGAAGAAAATAAAATAATCCTCTTGTCTCTGGTACGCAACAATGAAGAAGGTAATATCGGATTCCTCAAGGAGGAAAACAGAGTTTGCGTCGCGTTATCGCGTGCTCGCGATGGCATGTACATCATGGGCAACATTCATAACCTCGTTATGAAAAACACCATTTGGCCGAAAATCAAGAAGGTACTGGAGGAGGAAAACGCAATAGGCAACGCTCTAGAATTCCAATGTCAGATTCATCATGATCAAATCACATTGGTAAAAATGCACGCTCCATTTATAACACAAAACTTGCTTGATCATTTTTATTATTTCAAGTTCCTATATTAACCAAATTTTTTGATGCAGATACAAGATGTGAAAGATTTTCAAAAATGTCCGGAAGGTGGCTGCTCGAGAAAGTGTGAATTGGCTCTGGCCTGCGGACACACTTGCACCAGTGTTTGTCACATATTGGATCGAGAACACTTGGAGTACCGATGCAAGCAGCCGTGCATCAAGAGTTGCCCGAACGATCATCCTTGTCCGCTGAAATGTTGGGAAGGCTGCCAACCCTGCAAAGTCATGGTAAAAAGGAAGCTTGTGTGTGGCCATATTGTAGATATGTGGTGCTTCACGGATCCGCAAACATTTCCATGCAATGTTCAGGTGTGACACATCAGTATATTCCACATCGATGGCTGAGTTCGAAAATGCCCTATCTCAGAAACTTTTCAAGAACGCCATGCTTCAGAATTTGATTGAAGAAAGCCCTATTTCGGAATTTTATCGAAAAACACCCTATCTCAGAATTTGCTTCAAAAACGCCCTATCTCAAACGAAAATACATACATACATTGAAAATATGCTGCGTATGTGGGCGTTTTTGATCCGAACTTTGGTGCCGAGATAGGTCGATGTTCCACTCAGCCATCGATATATTATTCTATGTCGTTGAGTTAGAAATCGCCAGAAATTTACCCGCTATAATTTTCAGGTCGAAGCTACATTGCCGGACTGTAATCATGTCAACCAGAAGCCGTGTCATCTTCCAATCAAAGATGTGATATGTACTTATGCTTGCAAGAACCGCTTGCCGTGTGGTCACGTGTGCCGGCATAATTGTCATGTTAACAAAGACCCGGAACATATCGAGGTACATATATGTATAAGGAGTTTGGTTAAATCAAATGTATCCTACCTATGTTTTTGAGCAAATTGTTAAAACTAGTGGGATAATTGAAGATGCTCCGTGTATTTTTTATTTTTCATTATTGATTTAAAATTTGGTTTTCAGTACAAGTGCTTCAAAGATTGCACTCGGATTTATGATAATTGTGAGGGAAATCACAAGTGTAAGAAACGTTGCTACGAAGAATGCGGGCTGTGTCCAATAATTGTTGCGAAAACCCGGTCTTGCGGACATCGTTTCAAGCAATTTGTGTGCTCGAAGAATGTAGAGGAAATTGAGTGCGACAAGCCTTGCAAGCGTAAGTTAAGCTGTGATCACAAGTGCCCTTCGAAATGCCGCGAACCATGCGGAAGCTGTCAATTGAAGGTAAACTATTGCTTTGCATGCAATTGTAAACATTACGTAAGATCTTTACAAATATCTCAATATTTGCAGGTAGAAAAGATGAGTCCCTGCAACCATATGGTGGAAGTGAAATGCAGCGAAGAACCAACGCCGTCTAAATGTAGCGGAAAATGTCGTAAATTATTACCTTGTGGACACCCTTGCACTAACAAATGCAAAGAGGCTTGCACTTCAAACTGCAAGGTCTTGGTTAAGCTAGGAAAACCTGCACTGTGTGGGCACTCTTTGCAAGTACCATGCTATCTTCAAAAGACAGGTCAGCGTTTCAATTGTAGCAGTCATGCAACCGCAAATAACTCTTGAAGTTAACATTCGATTTGATTTCTCATTGTAGATCCAAATTCACGAGAATTATTGAAGTACTGCAAAGCACCGTGCATAGTCGAATTGGAGTGCAAGCATTTATGCAAAGGAACGTGTGGTTCGTGCCTACAGGGACGAATACACATAAACTGTGCTGAGCCTTGCAACAATATTCTTATTTGTGGACATCAGTAATCAAACTTTTTTGTTTCTGAGAACACTACAGCAAGCATTATTTGATGAATCAAAATTGTTTAAAATTTATCGTATTTACAGGTGTGAAGTGGCCTGCAGACTAGACTGTCAGCCTTGTAGCAAAAAATGTGAATTGAAATGCTCTCATAGTGTATGCGACAAAAAGTGTGGAATTCCATGTGTACCCTGCAAGGTGAATAGATTTATTATTTTACGCTGACGACACACAATCAGTTTTGCCTGTCAATTTCCTCACACACATTGCTTGTCAAAAATCATCAAAATTGAAAGCCATTACGTAGGCTGCATTCAATTTGAGAAGCAATTTCATTATCAACATGTCGCCTTCAAGAAACCAATGTAACTAGCTTCTGAAGAACATTTTCCATTTTAATTCCATTGTAAATTAAAATTTTAACATGCATAAGCTTAGTATTTTTTTATTTTCATAAAATTCGCTTTCCAATGCTGAAAAGCTGATCAAAATTGAAAGAAAAATTTAAACTCAATTGAAAGGGAAAAATTTAAAGCAAGTTGCCCATTTAAGCAATACATAAGTGTGTTAGTGACCCACGACAGTCGGGTCTACGTAACCGGAACGACCCAGATTTATATCTGGCCAAGGACTGTCACTTCAGCAACACTCCCCAAAATCTCTTGCTGTTTCAACAACAACAACAGTGTGTTAGTGAAAAAGTGTGAGAGTATTGAAAATTGTAAGGGAAAATTGAATGTGTAACGGCCCGGTTACTCAAATTTTATAGTTCTCGATAGCATACAAAAGTACAGGATTTAAATTAAATTTCGCAATATAAAACTGTCGCAACTATTTTTCTATAAGCATTAACGGATTTGTCTATATTTATATAGGAAAAATGTACTCGTGGTTGTAAGCACCGTCAATGCTCGAAACTTTGCTCAGAACTATGTGATATCGAGCCATGTAACGAGCCATGCCAAAATTTATTAAAATGCGAGCACCCTTGTGTTGGATTATGCGGCGACCCTTGCCCACCATTGTGCCGAATCTGCGATAAGGAAGAGCTAACAGAAGTTTTCTTTGGTGATGAAGATGAGCCAGATGCAAGGTGAAATAACATTTCGACAATTCACACATTTTAAAAGAAAAATTACTTATCTGTCCAAACAAAAAATAACATTCGGGAAATGTTTGCAGGTTTGTCTTTTTGGAAGATTGCCAACACTGTATAGAAAGTAATGCACTGACTAAGTGGATGGAGGACTCTAACGAAGGTATTCAAATGAAAGCGTGTCCGCGATGTAAAACACCCATCAGAAAATGCATGCGATTGATGAACCAAATAAAAAGAGACTTGGAAGATGTACTACTTGTAAAAGACAGGGTATTTTCCGGCAATAGTTCGGATTTGGAGAAAAAACGACTTGAATATGTAGAAGCACTATCTGCCATATTAAGCAATCCAAGTTTAGCAGGTAAATCTAATAATTTTATTTTTTAGCAAAACAACTTCAACCGTGAGGGTTGGTAACGTTTGAATAGTAAAAAGTCATAATTTTTCTGGGTTTATAATATATTTTTTATTTACATGGTAATCCTAAATTAACATTTATTGTTATTTAGAATTTCCGGAATTGAAGGAGTACGTAGCAGATTTACTTGATAGAGGACTTCCTATAAAGAATCAAAGACCACAAACTTTAAGTTCTCAGGAAATTGAAGCGTTCAGAATTTTATTAGATATCATGAGTCGTATGTTGAAAATATTGTCTCTTGTTAAAAGTCGCAGTGTCACATTTTACCGTTCCGTAAAAGAGCACGTTGTTATGCTAGTAGAAGCACTTCCAACTAGATGGCAAATTTCTCCCCAAAAAATTACTGACATTCAGTTGGAGCTTCAACGATTAAATTACATGGTAAGGGTAACGTTGCAAAGCTTTTTAAACACTTTTGAAAGTCTAACTGCGTTTTTTATTCAGGTGGAACTATGTAAAGAAGATTACATATACAACACACTATCACATAAAAAAGAGTTTGGTATGGCATCAAACAAATTGCTGAGTTTCAGCCGGTTCACCGACAAATTAGAAACCGAAGTCAGAAAGGATATAAGCGGCTTGCAGCATTTATTCGCCGAACAAATTAAAATCGAACGCCAAATGATTCACAAAGCAATGGGCTACAAGCAAGGTCACTGGTATAAATGCCCTAACGGACACATTTATATGATAACTGAGTGTGGCGGTGCAATGGAAGTAGGCAAATGCAACGAATGTGGAGCCCAAATAGGGGGCAGTCAGCACCGATTGTTGAACAGTAACACCCTCGCGACTGAAATGGATGGAGCTACGAGGCCTGCCTGGCCACAGGGTCCTAACGATTATCAATACATGTAACTTGAGGTTTATTTTAATATAATAGTGTTTTCAATATGATTATTCTTGCTGATTATAAAATAAAAACGTGCCTTTTGACTTCTACGTGCAATTACCATTTTGTTAACTGCACAACACTATTATAATTTATTTAGAACAGATACCTAAACAATCCGTATTTGGGTGTATAACTTCAAAATTTAATTAAACTATCCAGTATCCATTTATTTCGCAGATGAAATTTGGCTCTACGCAAAAGCAATAAACTCTTCCAGTGACTTTGTCGTATCAGTCCGCAACAAAGTGCTTATGTGGCCCGGTCCGTACCTAAATGGGTCGAAGCTTCGAACACACATGCGGTGCGTGCCAGAGGGGACGGCAGCAGAAGTTGCGCGTACATATGTATACACTAGAGTCCAGCGCAAGTGTATTTGCCGCATTTCGTTCAATAAGTACTACTTGCATTGTACTCTACTCCCAACACATTGTTACTCTTTTTCCGCATACATACACTACTTGGCGTTGAGAGAGTAAATACTTGACGTACTTGCTATTACTCAACCAAAGTACGTACTCTACTTTCTCTCATCGCGTACGAGAGATATTTGCTGCTGCCAAAAGGGAGTAGCAAATCTACTCTCTGTATACTTGTAGTACGGTAAGTACTTGCGTATTAAATTTCAATTCTGGTTGTTAGCCTACTAGTTGATATCGTTTGCAGCGCTGGTCAGTGAAATTGAAAGAGTAAAAATAGAATATGGAAATCGACGATGTAAGGAAATGTTTACGGCCTTATTTATAAAAAATAACGTAGATTTAGACAGTTGTTTAATGTGACATTTTCATAAAACTTTTGTATTCAAGCAGCTTTTTAAATCTATGTATGTACTTAAATTTTTATGAAAGTATTATTTCTCGTCTCTAATTTTCTATAAAACTATTTGCAGTCATTAACCAACAAATAAGTTGTCAAAAACAATAACTTAAGCAATGCTGCTATACGAAATAAAATTATTAGTGGCAAATCAAAATTTTGAAAAGTGCCGATTTTCACATTCGATAGTTGGACATGGTAGCGACGAGATGTACGAGCATTTTTTTCTTAAGAGCTGCATACTGATTTAAGAAATTTTTTATAGAAGAAAATTTATTTTCCATTTATTGTGCGTAATTTTATATGAATTTTTAGTTTTTCTTGAGAGCCTTTACAAATAAAAAAAATTTCTAAATATGTACATACATATGTACATACATACGCAGCCATATAACTTGATTTCAAGAGAAACGAATTTTCATTTGGCACGTTCAGAAGGCGAAACAGCTCAGTAACTGGTGCGATTGCACCTTCTGAACGCGTTGTTGCGTACTTCTGATCAACTGAATAGTTGCGTGTTAGATGATCGTAATATTTTTCTGATCATTTGAGACAACATGTTGGTGTGTACCTTTGAGAGTTGAATTTGACAGCTAATGTATGAAGTCGTTCAAAAGACGCATAACGATCACTGATTTTTGTTTAGCAACGGTTGCGCTCAACTGCTGCGCCTTCTGAACCTACCTATTGATAACTTTTTTTTTTTTTGATAACACTGCGACAGCTCAAATTGGTATTGAGTAAAACCAAATGCAAGATAGAGTTTTTGAATTTCATTGAGTTTTTTTTAATAAATACTAAAATTAGAAGTGTATGAATGGCGAAAGAAAAACTTTATCCGATTTTTTTAAATCGAAACTACATTTTTACATATGTACATATGTACATGCATACATAAATATATTTAATATGAAATTGAAATTTTCACATCAATTTGCGCTATCTTCAAACCCATGGTTTCAATTGTACGCATATTGTCAGGGTTTTCCCCACAACTTGGTTTTGCTGCAGTGAAGCGACAGAACAAGTGACGAGGAAAAATATATGCGGACACTTACATATATATGTATGTATCTATGTACATACGTATCTATGCAGATACGCATCTATGCACATACGTATCTATGCACATACATATGTACATATGTACTTAGGTATGTATATCAGCATTTTAGTTGAAAGTACGTTTTGCTCGTCGCTCTCTTCATCGCTCCACTACATTCCTGTCCATGAACCAAAAAGACAAAATCACGCGGGCAGGAGACTAGCCCGTTATAATCGCATTTATGAAAAAAGTTGAGCGACTTTGACATTAGCCGTTTATTTACATTTCTTCGTTGTTTACAATTTGGTGGTGGCTTTTTACTGCAATTTTCTTCATTTTCACTTGTGACAACGTGTGTACACATAAGATAAAGAATAATTTAACACAACGGCATGATTTATAGAAGAATTTGCATAATAAAAATGATTTTTCATGCGTTCAACAATTTCGCGGTTTTCTCCGTTCTCTTCGTTGTTTACTTCTTACAACAAAGATGGCGTCGAGATTTCGGCAGCTAGAAAATAACTTTTTTCGTTCTTTCC